GCCGGCCCGCCCCTGGCAGCGCTGGGCATGCGCAGTGCCGGCAGCACGGCAGGAAGATGGCGAGGGCGGGAGTAGACCGCGGAACAATTTTACAAGTTTTTGGGGTTGTTTGCTTTAATAGGTGTATTCTTCGTGTTTTCTCTTTTTCAGGTGAGGAGAATGAGGATGAAGAAGGGTTCCTGCGGGTTTCGGAGGCCGTTGGGAGCCCTGCCTCTCGTGTCCCTCCCCCCACCTGTAGGACTTTGCCTTTCCTGGCTCTTCTTGCTTGGTGGTGTGTGGAGAGTTTTGCAACGCCTCCTCTCAGGGCCTGAGGCTCTAAGGAAAGCAGGAACAGCTAGGTAGGGCAGAGGGGCTTTGGAGACAGATCTACTCCCTAGGAGTGTGGTAAAAGGTCCCCTGCAGTGTTCTCTCAGTTGATGTAGAAAGGTGACACTTTTGAACCTGTTCACCTCTGGGCCTGCCTCCTTCATGGAGAAAAGCGGCTGTGTCCCACCACCACCACTGTCACGAGGTCTTCGCACCAGGCTCAGCCCGTTGCCTTCATCAAGTGCTTCCAACACCAAAGTGCTATCCTGTCTTGTTAGGTGACTGGTGGTTGTGGCACTGAGCCAAGGAGAATGGCATCCCTCTTTCTGCTTAGCACCTACATCTCTGTGTTGTGTTTCTGTTACACGGGGATAGCTGGACTGGTGGACAGCTATTATGTTATAATGTATTTGCATCCAAAGAAGTAAAACAGCAGTCTAAATCTCTTGAGATGCACAAGTGGAAGTGATCACCACATGCAAAATGCCTTTATGCTGGAGACAGAGGGGATTTTTTTATATAGCTACTGGGCCAGGGATCAGTGAAAGGGCTGCAGTTTTAAATACTTTAAAAATACCAAAAAATGGAGAAGGGAGCAGGAGATACTTTCACTTGTTTTTAATTATCAGTAAGAAGAAGCTTTTGAAAAATGCTGATGACTTTTAAAATTTAAAAGTTAGCACCACTTGATGAAGTTTGGGAATGATCAATCAATAACTGACAATAGGATAACTTCAGTTCTGTCTTTGTGTTTTCAGAAGAAATAAATATCATAGGATCGAGGATCTAAACAAATTTAGGTCACAAAAAAGGAGAAGGAAATGTGGTTTTCCTTATGGTTGTGAAGAATTAAGCTAAAAAAAAGGAAAACTCCAAAACTGGAAAACAAGACATAATCCTAGATGTGCAGCTTATTTATAAGATACCAAGGCAAATCTTAACCTGACATATGCATGGGGACAAAGATGTTTTGTAAGAGTCTCCAGAATAACTCAGTTGTTTAATATCCCAGTGGCTGTGATATTTTATAGCTGGCTTAGAGAGTACATGCTATGAATTTAGCTCTCTGAAGCCACTTTGAATAATAAATCCTCTCAGTTAGATATTTTACATTCTGCATATACCATTAATGGGGATCAGAGTTGCATACAATTCCTCTGAAACAGTCAAAATTGTTACAAGGTATTGAAATCTTAGAACATCATGGGAATTGAGACTAAACTGTCTGCTCAATATTGCACTAATTTTACCCTTGGTCATTTTAACTGATAGAAGAAATGGAAAAAGCTTGAAGATTTATGAGGAAACAGAGATGGATGTTTAAAAGATGTTTCAAGGGTTTAGGTACTGTTCCTTGAGTATAAGACAGATGATTGACTTTTATGCAAATACTGAGCCCAAGTGAAATTTTTGAGGTTCTGTCTAAGTGCCAGTCTCTGCTATACGTCTCAGAAACCAAGGTTAGCAATTCTGCATTCTTAGATTCTGAAGATCAAAACGATCTATTATAGCAGGGACAAAATATTATAGTTGGGAATATTGAATAAATTGTTGGTAAATTGAAATAAAGTGATGGTATAGCTGATCCAAGAAGGAATTAAAGGAATGAAATATAATGAAGACCAATTATCACAATCTTAAGGAAAATAGAACCAGTCTAATATTCTGGAGACAGAATTACATAGTTGTTTGATTAAAATGATACTGTCAGTATAGCACACTTACATTACCTTAAGGTATTTGACTTGTTGCTGGATGATTCAGATTGAACCTCCTATGCTCCAGCTTGCTCCCATTGCCCCTTGTCCTGTCATTGGCTGTCACTGAGAAGAGTCTGGCTCCTTCCTCCTGACACTCGCCCTTTACAAATTTATAAACTTGAATGAGGTCACCCCTCAGTTTCCTCTTCTCCAAGCTAAAGAGACCCAGCTCCCTCAGCCACTCCTCATAAGGGAGATGCTCCACTCCCTCTATCATCTTTGTGGCCCTGCGCTGGACTCTTTTAAGCAATTCCCTGTCCTTCTTGAACTGAGGGGCCCAGAATGGAACACAATATTCCAAATGTGGTTTCACCAGGGCAGAATAGAGGGGAAGGAGAACCTCTCTTGACCTACTAACCACCCCCCTCCTGATACACCCCAGGATGCCATTGGCCTTCTTGGTCGCAAGGGCACACTGCTGGCTCATGGTCATCCTGCTGTCCACCAACACCCCCAGGTCCTTTTCTGCCTGGCAGCTTTCCAGCCACTCGTCCCCAAGCCTGTAGCGCTGCATAGGGTTATTGCGACCGACATAGTAAATAACCAGTGACCATAAGTTTTTACTGCTATCCTGTAGCCCAAAAAGCAAACTCCATCTTTTTCTGAGAAATAGAGGAACCTGAAGTGGAAATGCAGGGAAAACTATTACTTTTGTATCTGTTATTTGCTCTGAATACTAATGTGACATTGTGTCTAGTTCAGCTGTCCTAAATGAAGTTCAATGTTGAATCTACGGAGGGAGTTAAAAAAGGGCATTTAAATGGCAGAAAGAATGTTTCTTGCAGTCTGGGGCTGCTGGAGATGGGATTGTCCTCAGACTTGCCTAGTGGGCTGTTCTTGCCTCAAATTATGAATGGAAGGAGAACTAGTTGGGGGAGAGTGTCTGAGGTTTAGTTTGCTAATGAGGAGAAGGGCTGAAGGATCTTCTGCTTGAAAGAGTCCAGCGCAGAGCCACAAAGATGATTGAGGAAGTGGAGCATCTCCCTTATGAGGAGCGGCTGAGGGAGCTGGGTCTCTTTAGCTTGGAGAAGAGGAGACTGAGGGGTGACCTCATTCATGGTTATAAATTTGTAAAGGGCGAGTGTCAGGAGGAAGGAGCCAGG